AAAAGTCAGCAGCTACAAAAACGGTATCTGCTGACTATTAATAAACACACACTTACCTGTCCCAGAGTCCAGCGATGTACTCAGCCGTGCAGCCCCTTCTCTCCTCCATGGCACCGGCATCTCTACTGTGGGCACCAGGCTGTGACCGCTTGACAGCTTGCAGCTTCACAGCCTGGTGCCCACTGCGCATGCTTAAGTCGCACCTCCTGATTGGTCCGGCAGTCACTTGGGATCTGTGAAAGTTCCCAGGAAACGGCAGGAGGAGGCCAAACTTCTGGCTCACTTTGTTGTGGCAAACTAAGCCAAAAGTAGTAGTGGGTACCTGTCAAAACCAGTTACCTGCTCCCCCCAAAGGTGCAAAATATAGGGTGGAGGGGGAAGGCAAATAAGCTGAACTTCTGCTTTTGAGTGGAACTTCGCTTTAATAACTTTGGATATGGCATTTTAATGATCATTGCAGGGCAGATGCTTCTCCCAACATTCTTTAAAAAAAAAAGGCAAGAAAAAAAGTTAAAAGTGTATATACACTAAAAGTCTGCATATCTGTAATATGCATAAGAAGATGTGCCAACCTGGTATAAAATGTTGTCTGCAATGCAAAGAAAAATCACAGAATCTGACTTTGTGTATGATGTCCACATGCCTTACAGTGTGTAGGGAATCCTTTCCTTTGGCCTGGCTGTGGTGCCAGATATGCTCACAAGGAAGGGACTGGAAGTGGAGCACACTGGTGATCACTGGATTACCTGGAAATGTACAATTACCTTGTCATAGAAGCTGAGCAAATGCAATAAAGTACCCCTTCCCCAATAAGATGGGACTAAAATTCAGTGCATCATTTCACCAAGAATAGAGAAATTCCTATTCATGCTGCAGTGAGGATCCCAGGCTCATCCTACAAGATGGCTCTGGCACTGAGAAAAACAATATGCTCACATTAAGAGCCTTTTAAACAGCTGGTAAAACTGCTCTAGAATCACCTTACAAAATAAAAATGGCCTCAAAAGCCTCAGTTCTGTTTGCAATAACTCATAGCTGAAGTACAGCCAAACAGATATTATTCAGGTCTGGACAAAATAATGAGCAGTCTGCAGCTCCATTCAGAAAAGCGCAGACCGGGAAGGGGGGGAGGGGGGGGTGTCACTGACAAAACCTGCTGTGAAGAGAGCAGCTCAGTGTGGTCGACTGCTGGACTCCAGGTGAGTGCGCTTCCCCGGCATCAGCACCACTCCAGGCTCCCCCTGTCCTGGGAAGGTTCTTTTGTGTGATCGTCCGTTTGCAGAGCCTCGCTGCCACTTACAGATATCTTCATTCAGGATGTCTTGAATATGCTGCACTATCAGGTTTATGGCAACTGTGAAAAGAAGATACAGCCAGAAATTGATATTTTGCATTGTACGTTTTTCACTATAGAGATGAATGGATTTGCACAGGTATCAGAGACTTTATAGATCAACCTCGTACATGGTTTTCATATCACATGTGCAATCCTCCCTGCAAAATGTGCAATCTAGGCATGTGAACTCCATGATACTCAGCAGAGCAATTTGCAGAGAAACCTCAAGTACACCTCTGGGAAATATGGAGCCTGCTATTTGTGTCTACCTCCTCAAATGCTTGTTGCCTGGCTCTTATGCTGATCCTTTGAGTCACAAAACAAGGCAGTAGATCAGCACATCAGTGTATAGAGCAGAGAGTGGTGACTGACAGTGGTCTTTGATCCCTCAGTTCTCAGTCTTAGAGCCGGCAGGGAGCCGATGCTGCATCCACCTAGGTAAGTATGATTTAAAAAAAAAAAAAAAAAAAACACCTCAACTTCTCTTTTAAGAATCCTTATCCATTACTTGCCTGGAATAGTGACTCAGAATAGAGCTCAATATGACGACCAGGCAACTAGCCTTTGCAGAACAAAAGCCAACCAACAATGGCAGTCTCCGTAGTTCTCCCAGGAAAGGTTCCTTTAGGATCATAATTTGTACTGTATAATCACTGCTGAACAACTTCCGAGAGCACTAGATGTCATGGGTTCCACATGTCCAGCTGAAGATTGACTCAATATTGCACCTACCCTTGTACCATGTCAACTGTGTACTGCAAGGACCCAATAAAAATCTATTGGAAAGAAAATACTAGCAGCCTGGCTGTCTATGGTGATACAGACTGCTTTTAGGCCTTACAGTCACACCCATTTTTTAAATCCTTGCACTGCTGAACCAGCAAACAAAACCCACCGCAAACATCATTTCTACCGAATTAGCAGATGCAGACAGCGGCCACGTTCATAAACAAGCTCACAGCTTCTATTGCTGGATTGCAATCTTTTACTGCCCCACCATATCAGCTGTGGAAGAGTCCAGCAACCACAGGGTCAACAGACAAGGACACTGTACAGGTGAGTGGACACTGGCAAAGCTTTCCTGGACATACCCACCTGGGGGGTGTGATGTATATACTTACCTATTTTCAGCTTGCTTTGGTCACGTCTGGCCACACAATCTCCCCTGTATTAGCCAGCAGCACCTTCAGGGGAAAGGTGAGAGCACTCCAACAGATGGAAAGACTGGGAGCAGTGACATCACCCATAGGATTTAATGTTCCATCCCTAGTCTGCACTTCCTCCTCTCTGCTGTATTGCTTCCTTTGTGTGAAATCCCTGGTGTTCCTGCCAGTCCCCCTGTGAAAAACTGACCACACTAGGCATGGGAGCACAGAGTGGTCAGTTTGCTGGTTGTGCTGAGAACTCAGCTTGCTTGACTCCAATGGTCAAACTTCTGCTGACAGGCACCCCCTGCACAGCCACTTTGAAGACCAGTATACTACTGTTTCTCCACCTCCACTTCTCTATGCAGCTGAAAACAGAGGGTATGTGATCACTTATAAAAAGAAAACCCATTATAAATACAGTTTACCACTTTTTTTTTAATATGTGCGCACGTTTTACCTTTCATTTCTATTTTAAACTGAAGGAGTTGTTTTACGAGGTGAGGGTTCACATATACTTTAATGTCCCCATGTGCCGATATCAGAATAAACATTAGACCGGATAGGTAACTCACCCATGTTGTCCACTCCACGTGGGATAATCACGTCTGCATATTTCTTGGTCTAAAGAGAAGCAACATGAGATACAGAAATAGAATTTACAGATGTGTAGATTTCTTTTGTGGCTTTTTTCCTTTTAACATGGCCATGTTGTTTTGTGCGATGTGCACATTAAACGCACAACAGCAGATTCCTATTTACCTTAATAATGTATGCCAAGATTGAACTCCTTTGCATTGCACTTTCCATGGATGCAGATTATCCTATGGAGATTTGTTAATGTTGGAATCACAGCAGGCCAAACCCGTCTTTTGCTGTGATTAGCAGGTGGCGCTCTGGGCTCCTTTTCTTACATTTACCTGTCTACTCCTAGTTATTTTCTGTCTGCAGAACTCTACAGCTCAACTGTATATACAGTATATTGCCAAAAGTCAATGGATTCAGGTCTTCCAATCACCTCCATGGCACCTAGGCATGCAGACTGCTTCTACAAACATTTGTGAAAGAAGTGGTAGGCCAAATAAAATGACGGAGCGGGGTCAGCGCATGCTGAAGTGCACAGTGTGCAGAAGTTGTCAACTGTCTGCAGAGTCAATAGCTGAAGACCTCCAAATTTCATGTGGCCTTCAGATTAGCACAACAACAGTGTGTAGAGAGCTTCATGGAATGGGTTTCCATGGCCGAGCAGCTGCATCCAAGCCTTACATCACCAAGTGCCATGCAAAGTGTTGGATGCAGTGGTGTAAAGCACACCGCCACTGGACTCTAGAGCAGTGGAGACGTGTTCTCTGGAGTGACGAATCACGCTTCTCTGTCTGGCAATATGATGGACGTGTCTGGGTTTGGCAGCTGTCAGGAGAACAGTACTTGTCTGACTGCACTGTGCCAAGTGTAAAGTTTGGTGGAGGGGAGATTATGGTGTGGGGTTGTTTTTCAGGGGTTGGGCTTGGCCCCTTAGTTCCAGTGAAGGGAACTCTTAAGGTGTCAGCATACCAAGACATTTTGGACAATTTCATGCTCCCAACTTTGTGGGAACAGTTTTGGGATGGTCCCTTTTCTGTTCCAACATGACTGCGCACCAGAGCACAAAGCAAGGTCCATAAAGACATGGATGAGTGAGTTTGGGGTGGAGTAACTTGACTGGCCTGCACAGAGTGCTGACCTCAACCTGATAGAACACCTTTGGGATGAATTAGAGCGGAGACTGCGAGCCAGGCCTTCTCATCCAACATCAATGCCTGACCTCACAAATGTGTTTCTGGAAGAATGGTCAAACATTCCCAGCAAAGTTCAACCTCAGAAATTTTAAAAAATTCACCCTTGCAGTCGAAAGTCACTTTAAAGTGAACCTGTCACAATTGGTGACCATACCCACTTTAAATCCCAAGTTCAGGCACAGCCACACAGTAGCAGGGCAAGTCCCAAATAGGTTTATGGGGAGTAACTGCACAGGTATGGGCAGCACCGGACAAGATCTCAGGCAGTGCCAGACAAGATTTCAGAAGAAGGTTGTAAACACTGAATAAGGCCAACAGAAAGAGGTAACCAAGCACCCAGGTAGGGGAGATAAGACAAAGTAGGGGCTATGGAGAAGAGACTAGAGAGGATTTTTCTTAGTAAAACATGAACATGCCCTTTAACTACTGCTCTAAAACACCCAATAATTCTGAATATGGGAAAACAAGTCACTCATCACCGGTCTAGTCACAATGTAGCCATTAGAACCTGAGCAACCAATCGCCAGGTCCTAATGCTATCACAAAGTGCAAGCGCATAGCCATTCATTATCAACAGTTGCCGTTTGCAGAGGTGACAGTGAAGATCTGAGTAGCAAGAGATTGGTGGCAAAGGAAAGTATTGGTTCCAGAGGATGTCTGGGACAAGTGCTGGGACAGAGGTGGGTTGGGATTTTATTGTCTTAGTTGTGACAAGTTAACGTGCAGAACAGTACAGGCAGACTAAGGAAGGTCAATTGGAAGCCATAGGTAACATATTAAACAGTGACTGGACATCATTACCGGTAGAGAAAACTCTTCAAATGCCGGCTTCACAAAGGTGGTATACTGGGAAAGAATCTGCTCCAGGTCTCGTCCTCTCTTCATATCACGCAGGACTGCCATTAAAACAAAAATTAATTCCCTTTATTTATACACCATAAAGATCTATTCAAACAACACAAAATGCTTTTCCTTTAGCTAGGGTTTGATTTTTCTAACTTGTCAAAACCGAAAAAAAAAAAATATTCACCAGTGTGATCGGACAATTCAGTTCCTATTCTCATTGATGTCAAAGCCAGTTTAAGTCCCTGGATGTGTTAAAGGAGCTTTGGTCCTACTTCCCATGTGGGTCACAGGAGTGGACTTAGTTCTGTACTCCTGTGACCTGTATTCAGCCGACAGAGGGTTAAAAGCCTGCTATTACCCGATGCCACTCAGCCGGTCCAAGCTTTAATGTCGGGATCCACCCAGATGATTGACTGGCAGCTGGCTCAGCCTCCCAGCATGTGGCCAAGATCCTGAGCCAGCTGCTCACAGCCCCTCCACAGCCTGGTGCTCCTGTGAGCACTGGAGGGGCAGAGCAGAGAGTCGTGACTGACAGTCACCAGCTCACTGAAGACTGAGAACTGAGTGTTCAGCAGTCTTTGATCGCTTAGTTCTCTGTCTCAGAGGTGACTGGGCATAAGTGAAGTATTGGATCGATGTTACATCCACCTATGTGAGAATGTGTGGTTATTTATATATTTTACATCCTGCTCGTCTCTTTTAACTGCCTCCCACCTACCATATAAGGAAATGATGGGAGGGTGGCGGTTCTCTTGTTCTGAGAGGATGTCATACGACATTCTCCCACTCTAGCTGCACATGTGCGCCCCCGGGGGTGCACGGCGACCGGTGGTGCAGTGTGTCCATGGAACACAGCGGATCACTGATCACAGTAAAGATCCGATGATGTAGGCTCTATCATGTGATCAGCTGTGTCACAGCTGATCGCATGTAAATAGGAAATGCCGGTTATCGCCAGTCCTCTCCTCATGCTGACAGTGCGAGAGGAGAGCCGGTAAGCTGCATTCCTCAGAGGGGACATCTACACTGATCATCAGTACACTGATGATCAGTGTAGCTCCATCAGTGCAAGCTGTCAGTGCCCATAATTGCCACATATCAGTGCCCATTAGAGCTGCCTTTCAGTGCTGCCATTCAATGCCCGTCAGTGCCACTAATCAGTGCCTTATATGAGTTCTGCCTTTCTGTGTCCATCAGTGATGCCTGTCAATGCCCACCATTGATGTCTGTCAATGCCCATCAGTGCAGCCTATCAGTGCCCATCACTGCATCCTCATTAGCGCACATCATTGAAGGAGAAAAATTACTTATTTACAAAATTTTATAACAGAAACTAAGAAAAAACTTTTTTTTTCTTCAAAATGTTCACTCTTTTTTAGTTTGTTAAGCAAAAAATAAAAAACCCAGCGGTGATTAAATACCACCAAATCTCTCTCTGTCTAAAAAAAAAATGATACAAATTTTGTTTGAATTACAATCATGCAACACTATATACAAAGTGTGACAGCACTGAAAGTTTAATATTGGCCTGGGCAGGAAGGGGGTAAAAGTGCCCAGTAGGCAAATGGTTAAGGTTTTTTTTCTTTTCTTTAAATGGGCCATCGGTACGAATGCAAAAAAAAAGAAGAAAAAAACCCATATGTGACACCTGCCCCCCCTTTTTTTTTTTTAAGGATGAAATATTATAACACCACAACTCACAGCACTTACTGCAAGGTAAAAATGTGACTGGGCTCTAAAACAAAAAACAGTCCATGTATTTTTTTTTTTTCTAAAAGCGTGTAAGTGCATCAGATTAGTAAACCTGGTGATTAAAATCTCATCTCATTATTAAAGTTAATGTTGTCAATGCTTTAAAATATAAATCTAATTTAATAAATCCCTGGAGATCCTACTATAAAGATCCTCATTCAGACGCTTCCTGTTATACAGCGACAACGCTGTCCTTTTTTCCCCAACTGTTCTCCTGCGTTGTAACCCAAACACACTTCCTGTTATAAGATGACAACGCTGTCCTTTTTTCCCCCGTTCTCCTGCGTTGTAACCTGAACACACTTCCTGTTATACAGGGACAACGCTGTCCCTTTTCCCCAACTGTTCTCCTGCGTTGTAACCCAAACACACTTCCTGTTATACAGTGACAACGCTGTCTTTTTTTTCCCCCAACTGTTCTCCTGCATTGTATCCCGAACACAGGATTCTGATGGAGAATACAAGTGGCTGTTTCAACACACTCAAGCTTGGTCCATTGGTGTTACCATCAGGAAACCTCTCCTGAGAAATACCATGCAGCTAGTGAGCATGTAGACAGGGAGTGGCAGCAAAAAACATGCAGATCAGCAAAAAACAGGCTAAAAAACAAAACAAGAAAAACAATGAAAATACTTTTTTTTAGTTAAAAAAGGCAATGCTTTTAGCATTTACATCTACTTTAAACCTATGCTTGTTCTGCTAAAATCAAAAAGTGACGGATTAGAACATGTCAGGTCTTTATTGCCGCGTAACACAGGTTGGTAAGACTTCTAGTCACTATCTGCCTCTCCAAATTTACCAGTTTGTCTGCAGCTCTTTAATGAATGGCACAGCATCCAGATGGTCTTGTGGCTGCATGCATCAATGGGCTATAAAAGCTTCGAACTGCCCACAAGCTTCCTCAATTAAACTCCGGAGACTGTCTGGTAAGCATCTGTTTGCCTTGGATAAGCACTTATTGCATTCTTCCCAGCATTCCTACACAAATAACATCTCATTGTTGGCCTCAGGCCTTCTTCCTCAAGTGTAGCATCTGAAAAGCATCTGACAGAACGTGAATATTAGTGTTTGTGAATAACCGGCTTTAGGGCCTGCCCCAGCACTTTGTCAGGGTTCTGATCCCTGCAAACTGTGGGGTTGATTTACTAAAGGCAAATAGATTGTGCACTGCAAGGTCAGTTTCTCTAGATCTTAGGGAAAGCTCTGAAATGAAGGGACGCTCTGCCAATTTCTATCATCCAATCATGTGCATGCAAAAATGCTTTTTTTTTTCTTTTCCTTGCATGTGATTGGATATTCTTTGCAATGTGAACTTTACTAAGCTCTGGAGCAAGTGCACAGTATATTTGACTTTAGTAAATCAACTCAATTGAGTCTAAAAGCATTCTGAGTGTTCTATTTTTTCTTCTAGAAAAAAAAAAAAAAAAAAAAAAAAGCATACTGCACTGGATGCTATAAAAACCATACAACCGAGGGGAATCTCACCTCTGCGGGAGAGCCGGACATCTGAGTCTGTGTCTACAAACAGCTTAAGGTGGAACATGTCTCGGATCTCTTGGTTGTAGAAAGCCAAAATGCCCTCGAACAGCAACACATCAGGAGGGTACACTCTTGTGGTCTCTGATAATCTGAGAAAGAGTAAAAGTAAAGTACAGCTTCCACCTTCCATAGCAAAGCAGTGATTCCCGTATTCCCCTGATGCCTCATTCCTTTGTGGGAAACCTTGGAAATATCAGACACTTAAAAGGTATGGGATAGTCTTACTCCTGTGATGTGCCTTCCAGCTGTGAAAAGACAAAACAGAGAGCTCACCAGCCTGGTGCATTGTTCCAAGGTAAATGTATTAAAATAATGGTAAAATCGTACTCACAAATAATATGTGAAGAATCACATGATCGCTGAAGCAACCCTCTTCTTCAGAGCCTTGGGCCCTCGAAAAGCGTCAACCTTTGCCTAGGTCCCTGAACGACACCTTTCAGGCGTTATAGGGTCCACTGGGCTTCAGCGATCATTGTATCGAGGGGTGACACCTGGCATGTGATTATTCACATATTGTTTGTGAGTATGATTTTACCATTATTGTAATAAATTTACCTTGGAATAATGCACTAGGCTGGTGACTCTGTCTTTTCAGTTGGTATTTGTACTACCCCAGTCGTTTGTGAGACCAGCAAGGCTTGGCCTATTCCATTGGTCCATTCATGAAACGCACATATTTAATGGGATATATTTAGGAGAACTGTCTCAGGTCCTCCTCACTCATGTGTAGGAGATTTTGACATTTCGATGTGACTTCCAGGCCTGAGTGGCAAGTCACCAGTGATGAACAGTACCACATAGGGAGGTGGCGTTGGAAGCGATGGGGGTCATTAAGCCTTTGTATGCTCTGACACTGTCCTAACACGGAGCTTACATCAAGTTTGGATCCATGGCTACAGAGGAGAACAGCAAAAGGTATTAGAGGATGGAAGAAGCGATCTAACAATTTTTAAAAGTAAAGGTCCAAGCTGAGTGCAGACACCCAATATCACTTTAACCAATAGCCGTTTGGCGGCCGGCAAAATGCTGTAGATTTCTGGGTGGACGCCATACGGCGTCCTCCCGGGCATGCACAGTTTTCGCGCTTGCAGAACCGCGCAGCGGCGCGATCTGTCACCGGCCGTGTACCTCGGACACGGCCGTATCTGAGTACCGGCTCCCGTTGCCGGTATCATGTAACCTGCTGTGACCAATCCCTGGAGTTAACGGAAACTTTGTTACTTTTAAGAAACTAAAAGGAAACATTGTTTCTTTTAACTTGGGGAAAAAAACTAAAAAGAAACTTTCTTTTAGCTGGGGGGAAAGTGACAGCTGAATCTCTGAGTTATAGTGAAGAAAAAAAAAAAAAAGTAGTAATTACATTTAAAAACTGACACCATAATAAATAAAAAAACGGCGTGGGATCCCCCCTCCCATCCATAACAAGCCCTTTAGGTCTGGTATGGATTTTGAGGGGAACTCCCACACCAAAATGAAAAGAAAAAAAAAAAATTGGTGTGGTGGTCCCCCCTCCAAAATCCATACCAGACCTTATACGAGCATGCAGCCTGGCAGGTCAGGAAAAGGGGGGACGGGCAAGCGTCCCCCCCCCTCTCTTAAACCATACCAGGCCACATGCCCTCAAAATGGGGGGGGTGCATTGGGGCAGGGGATTAACTGGTTTTCAATGCATTAATTGGTTTTCACAGATTAATTGGTTTTCAATGCATTCCTATGGGAAACGGCATTTCGGTTTACGAATTTTTCGCCATATGAAAAGTCCCGCAGAATGAATTAAATTTGTAAACAGAGGTATGCCTGTAGTGATAAAACCACTCGCATTTGACATGCAACCCTTGCACTTGTAAGAAGTGTATCCTATACCAATATCCAACCAGGAGTCATTCCATGTACCTTACCAGGCACAAAGGTTTATAGGCTTTCCTTGCTGTGCTTCTTGACACCAAAGTCTCAAATGCTCTGTACTTCAACTCCCCCATGAAAAGATAATAAAGGAATCTATAGGGCAGCAATCCCCAGAAAATCAATCCGTTTATTAGAAAGCTAATTTTACAATTTACAATCTACCCCTCACATTGATAGGAAAAATCAATCTGCTCACAATAAAACTGCTTCCCCCACTGTTGTATGTATTACACCACTCTCTGGTATGGGTATCTAAATCAGATTTCATTCGTACATCGTACATTCGTTTTCTTTGGGGCTCTCACCCCCCTCAGTTCCGACTATTTCTGGTCCAGAGACCTTGGACCCAGGAACTGGAATTTCTTTTTTTTATTTTATAGCTGCAATGCTATCGCAGGCTCATAATTGGCGGATCTCGACACCTCCAACTCCACGGTTGCCTTAGAAGCTGCTTTGGTGGGCTCCTACGAAGCATTTAATTAATTCAGGGGCGCTAAAGCTCCTTATCCCCCTCCCGACTTCTATGAAACCGGTAATCAGAGCATGGACCTCGGTCATTCCTCCTGTAGGGAACAGTTCCAGATGGTATTCCCCTGATACTCCACTATGGCTAAACCCCACCTTGTCTAAATTATTTTCCATACCCTACCCATCCCTCTGGGGTGTCCATTATTTGACCCATATTTTCGAGGGTGGCATATTGCAGATATTTGCTCAACTTAAACAAAAATTTGCTTTGCTCAATTCCTACTTCTTCCGGTTCTTCCAGTTGCACCATGCTAACACTGCACAATTTGGGAGCTCTCCTTAATCCGGAAATACAAAATCACGTATATATACACACGTGATTTTGCGCACCCCTGCCACCCTGTAGCAGTATTTCTGGAACATGGTACATCTGCGTTACTCCAAGTCAAAGCACTTTAGAACATTCTCATTCCTTGTCCTTCAGTAACGGGAACCTTCCAGGATGACGGACACAAAACAAGTTGTGAAGGACAAGTAGACACAGGTTTTTTTTTCTGAGTAGACATGGAATCGCTTCTCTGGAAGGAGTCCCTTAGGGAACCTCTATCCACCATTTACAAAGCCCTTCAGCCTACTGTACACCATGGTCTAGATCAGCAATGGGCAAACTACGGCCCGGCGGACCTTTTAATCCGGCCCGTGGAGCGTGATACTGTCAGGATGGCTGTCAGGATGTGTGTAGGCGGGGCAGCGTGACGAACGTGAGGGGAGCTAGGCTCCTCTCACAGTCCGCCCTGAAGACCGGAACGGCGCGGGAACACAGCGAGAGGAACGCGCGGAGCAAAGGTAAGTGAATTGACTCAGGGGGGACTTGGCTTACTACTTGGGGGGGAATAGTACTATGGGGGATGAAAATACTATATGGGGAATGAATTACTATATGGGGGATGAATTACTATATGGGGGATGAATTACTATATGGGGGATGAATTACTATATGGGGGATGAATTACTATATGGGGGATGAATTACTATGGGGGATGGATTACTATGCTTACTATGGGGGAATATTACTATACTTACTATGGATGACACATACACATCATTCATCTACTCTTGGTCCGGCCCCCGGGTCCAATATATGAACCCATTGCGGCCCTCAAGTCAAAAAGTTTGCCCACCCCTGGTCTAGATAGTTTATGTTCCTTTCTGTTGGCAGAGCTGCTGGAGCTGGACGACAAGGACTGGGAGGACATACTGTATGGGAATGTCCCTTTTCCCAGTTGGTGTTTTCCCAAAGATAAGATCTACCCAAACTGTCCGCCGTGCTGTTGGCGTTGCCAAGCTGATTTGGTTATTTACCTCCATATGCCATGGTCATGCCCTTCCCTACAACCTTTCTGGTCAGGTGTCCTACAGTTTATTACCTGTCTCACCACTATCCATATACCTCAACAGGTAGACGTGTATTTTAGGGCTAGTCTGCCCCCCCCCCCCTCCATTTGTATGAGGTACATGGTACCCCTACTCATTCACCAAAACAAAAAAAAGTGTAGTGTAAGGAAAAAACAAAAAACACAGGAGGCAGTTTTCGACAAGTCATTTATTAAATAAAACAAAAATGAAAAAAAAATGTCCCCTGGTGTAGATCCATCATCAATCACGATGCCCGCCGCCACCGCTGACCCAGGACATTTTTTAAATTTTAGTTTTTTGTAATAGGACTTGTCAAAAATTGCCTCTTGTGGTTTTTTACACTAAACTTTCTTTAGGTGAATCAGTAGGGGTGATTTTGGTGGGGACCACACGCCATTTGTTTTTTTTTTTTTTGCATGGCGGTCCCCCCCCAAAATACATACCAGACCTGAAAAGCCTGGTAAGGACTGGGGGGGACCCCAAGACGTTTTTTTTCTTAATTTTTAATTGCCGGCAATTCTTTTTTTTACATTCAGCTGTCAGCAGGGAATCCTGCTGACGACTAATCGGTCAAGGATGCAGCGCCTGCCTGCTTCTTAACAACCAGCACATAACGCATTCCTCGACAACTGCTTAATTACCGCATGCATTTAATTATTTATTTCCTTCTGCGAATTAACCAACATCTTTTATGCAGTATTTATCAAGCATTTTTGTGGTAAATACCGAATACTAGCAATGGAGAATTGACATTTTCAGTATCACATGTGATATGTGGTCACATGACCTACATAATGCATTCGATAACCTTTAGTGAATTGTCCTCACTGCACCATATAGTTTTTTTTTTTTTTCCCCAAAGGTTGTTTTCCTGTTGTTTGGAGTCCATCAGAGATTTAGGAGTGGAGGATTTGGGACTGGAACATACATTAAACTGATCTGAGAGACACAAAAGCTTGTGAGTGCTGGTCGAATAAATCTTTCTGGACCAAAGATGCATTGTTTTTACTCCCACTGATGCCAGGACAATTTCCTGGAGAGTAAACTGGCCCATTGTTTAGAAAGTTTGGAGACCCCTGTACTAGACCACTGCAAATTACACAATCCGTGCAAAAAAACTGAATGGTTTTTATATGTAAAAATCATGGAACAGTTTTCATTACAGTAAATAAAAATAGAAAATAAAAGGAACTGGAAGTGAGAATAATTTTTTAGTACTTCATTTTTGTCTAGTAATGTCATCAGCTACCACATTTGGAAATTCCAATGTGTTAGTTTTATACACTCAAGTATCAGGTGATCATGGACTTTGAAATTTCATCATGGTAAATGGGAAGACCTACCTTGAATGAGTGACAAAGTCATATGTGGGCACGCTCACTATTTGTCCCTCTAGAATGCTTGTGAGAGTTTTGTACATCAAATCATTATCAAACGCATCTGTAAAAAGAGTAATGAAATGTTTATCTATACTAAGCAGCAGAAATACAAGAGAATTGAGAACAAAAGAGATACATCACTGGAGGCCTATATAATGTTACCATAGTAACATTGAACTACTCTGGGCAAGTGATCAGGATTTTTTTTTTTTTTTTTTTTTTTACACACATTATGATTGCTAATACCAATGTATTTAATTGATATTTGCAGTCATTATTACTGAATGAAACTGATTCATTCAGTCTTTTGTTGTGATTAGCTGTGATTGGGCAAAGCTCATCACATGATACAGATCGGCTGTGATTGGCCCTGTCCACATGTGACTGCTTTGACCAATCACAGCTAATAACACAATTTAATTTTTTATTTTTTTCCAAAAAAGTATTTTATTGAAATATGAAAGGCATATCAAGTCATATACAGAAACAGGGCACAGTTTGTGCATAAACCTAGGATATACTCTCCCATAACGCAGACGGGACCTAAGATGTCGGCTTAAAGTGTGATTCATCTCGAGGCAAAATACACAATTTTATACAATGAATGGCATGACAGGAAGCCATCCATTGTATACAATTGACATGTTATCTGCTGTGATTGGTCACAGAGGTCACAAGACACTGGTAACAGGCCGGTGTAGTGATATGCCATCGGCTGTGTCCCATGGGCACAGCCGGTTACAGATCGTGCTGCTGCGCGGCCCTGTGAGCGGCTCGTTTAGACATGACGTCAATGTGACGCCCAGTCACAACGGCGAGTGTCCCGCCCAGCTGTCAATCTGCTATAGGCAGGGTGGGAAGGTGTTAAATACACCCCAAGTGTTCTGCTCTGTATAGATGAGTGCAAGTCAGGCCAGCTCAGGTCCGCTTTCATGGAACATGCCCTGTGTTTAAGGTCATTACTTTATCTCAGCAGTCGGAGGTTGACTGCATCTGTCTAATATACAAATGACTAGATTAAAATATACACAAGGGGTCATTATATGAATCAACAAACAAAAAAACAGTCCAAAGTTCAGTCAAGAATTCATTTCAGGTAAACATTGTAACGGCAATGCAATGTGTACTCATTGACTTTGCTCCATGGAGTTTGGGTCCATGTGTTTCAAGTATCACCTTTATTTTCATTTAGATGCAGTAGGGAGTGGCTAAACCTGTGTCAGGTGACTTTTTTTTTGGTGCGTTGGGTCCCCGTTAGGGAGATTTTCCCTCACTTCCTGTTCTGACAGGAAGTGAGAAGAAATCTCTTCAAAAAGAAGAGCTGAGGAGCAATTCTTTACAAGACAACTGGCACTGGAGCAGGTGTCCCCATTGACCATATCCCTTCTGTTACTGTTCCAGGGACAAGTGTAACATTTTAGATTCCCCATGACTTCTGCCCCATGCCACCAGAAAAAATAGGGGGAATCTTCTGGGGACATCAACAGCAATAACACCTGACTCACTTCATTTGACCCTTCCACACTTCATTTGACATGAATCCCTCATCACTGCCTGCTTTAACCCTTTGGACCACACACAAGCATGCTGCAACCAAAGCAGCCCATTCACTTGAATAGCGGGTGCTACGCCCACTGAAAGCGACAGCGGGTATAAATCCTTCTGCAACCGCAAAGCAATATGCCTGCATGTGTACACCCCATTTATTTGTCTGTGCAAATAATAGGGGTAGTGGGTGGGGGGGGGGTTTAAAGACGTGGCTCAACCCCCAGCGCTAGTGTGAATGAGCCCTAAAAGAATCCCAGAACTTGCCAGCCACAGCTAGAAGAAATGTGTAAATCAGGGGTCTCCAAACTATGGCCCTCCAGGTGTTGAGGAACTGCAAGTCTCATGAGGCCTTGCAAGATTTGGACAGCCACAAGCAAGATTCCCAGACACAGAGGCATGATGAGACTTGTAGTACTTCAACAGCTGGAGGGCCATAGTTTGGAGATCCCTGGTGTAAATCATCAAGGAGAACAATGCCCCAGAAAAGTAAAGATCAGTTATGGCGAATGACTCTACTCACCGGGGTGATCAAAGTTGTACTGGCCCTTGAGGGCCCGGGCTTTCTGTTCAGGGGTCAGTACCTTGTAGAACCTGTCCTGGCTTAAAATAACAACCTTCCTCTGTCTGTGGTCCACCTCGTTCTGGCCCAGGAGCTCCATGATCTTCTCACATACTGTTGACTGTAAGAGTCAGGCAATCATCAATGCATGGACTGACTGATAAAGAAGAAAAGGCTTTGGAACTTTCTGGTTAAAACAGATATTAAAAGTAAAATTCATATAGTAAATGTATAGTACACAAAAGACCCTGGTCACAAGAAGCAGGATAACCATTAGGCCGCTTTCACACTGAATGCATATGCATTTTTGCCATGTTTGCGGAGCATTTTTTTTAAAGGAAATTTGACTCAAAAACTGCACTGCTAGTGCATTTGAGTGTGTTTTTGAAACATTTTCCATTGAATTCAATGGGTAGGTGTGTTTTTGGTGCCTTTTTTTTACTGCAACAAAAATGCAGCAAGCAGAATTTAAAAAAAAAACAGCACTGGACCCGCAACAGATCAGTGTGAAGCATTCCATAGAAATGGTCACGCGTTTTTCTTCCACTTTTTTTTTTTTTTTTTAACACAAAAGCAGAAGAAAAGCAGATGAATGTGAAAGCAGCCTGTTTCCTAAAGTGAATGTCTGAGCAAATAAATACAAAAAACACATTCAATACATCACTGCATTACATTCACATTGCCCTACACATAGTACAGAAAAATACCTGCTGACCTCCCAGAAATCCAGTGACCTCCTAACTTCCTGCTGGAGCCCACAGCCTCTGATGCACTGGAATCCCAACCAGCTCTGCCTGCTGACTACAGAACTATCCCCACTTCTCAATATAGACTACAGAACTATCCCCACTTCTCAATGTACCCTTCTACTTGCATAGGTTTCTTTAAAAAAAAACAATGCTGCTGCCTTGACTTCCATGAACCCACCCATAAACTGTGCAGGGAAAGGGCTTTCGGGAGATGTAGTTCTGGGAGTATGCCTTCATCAATAGGAATACAACTCCCAGCATCTGGCCCTGCAAGAATTTACAAGTCAGGTGATGATGCTAGGATGATAAAGCTACAATGAGACATGCTCTAGGGGAGTCGTGTAGGTGTGAGGGGGTTGCAAGAATTTTTCAAGCCTGGCAATGTTATCAAAGCTGTGTATTGCTACACTGGGACATGCACTAAAGCTGGCCATAGATGGATCTAATCACTGCTGGTTCAGGCCAAGATTTGATCCATCTATGGGCAGCCTGGTAGTACAGATGTCAATCCATTGATTGACTTCAGTACAACCAGCCTGTTGGGTCTTTTTGTTTCGATTACTGCTGGCAGCTAGAGCCACTAGCAGTAATCATTGCGTTCTGCTGGCAGGGAAGGCTCACACAATAGTGCTGCAAAAGGAATTCAACACTGACTGGGGGACTGAAGCAATTTTCATCCTGCAACCTGTGCAAGGAGAATTGTATAATGTATGGCCCACTTAAGAAGTTGTGGGTTTGGGGGGTAATATCTGGACATACACCTACCTAAACCCCGATAAATCTAGAGGGGAGCTCCAGGCAAACAGATAGATACTTGAAAGTCACACATGTAAACTGTTTGTTTTTTTTTTTTTTTTTCTGTAACGTGATTTGTAAATTTGCTGCAACCAGCCGTGTGATTCAGCCACCTGATCCTCGTTTCCACTTTACAGCTCCCTATGTCACCTGTGTCTCCATTCTACTCACAAGGATTCCGAAAGTCCAAAGAGCAGGAATTTGCCACAGAAAGCTTTATCATAAAATTGTGGGGTCATCTTTCTGGCTGTGCCTTGTAACAAGGTGTGCCATTCACAAGCCGGCTGCATAAATGACAAACTATTGGGCAAGGAAAACCGGTCACATGTATGTCTCTTCAGGACTCCAGCAGTTAGTCAGAACACACACTGATCTGTTGGCGGAGATCTATCATTTACACGTGTGCAATGTCTGTAGTGGTGTCCGTGTGCGCACATGTATGACCAGGATTAACATCTACACACCTTTGGCCAAAAGCCATCTGAGCCTGTCACCATACATAGGATGATGTGTGGGCTGTTGTAGAAGGACAGACACTACAACTGATAGGCAGTGACATATTAACACAGGTCAATATTTACAACAGAGCAAAGTCTCCTATCACTTGGTCCCGGCATCACTAGATAATCAGAACAAAGCGCAAATCACACCAAGGACAGCAGAGCATTGAGCAACGGTTGGCTGCTGTACAGCCGTGTCATGCTTGGCCACAACAGTTTTCTCCTGAATAATATTCAGGGCTCATTCCCGCGGCCGTACGGCCCCCATATTCAGGGCTCATTCCCGCGGCCGTACGGCCCCCATATTCAGGGCTCATTCCCGCGGCCCGTACGGCCCCCATATTCAGGGCTCATTCCCGCGGCCGTACGGCCCCCATATTCAGGGCTCATTCGCACCGCCCCCATACTCAGGGCTTATTCGCGCAGGCATATGGCCCCCATATTCAGGGCTCATTCCCGCGGGTGTACGGCCCCCATATTCAGGGCTTATTCGCGCAGGCATATGGCCCCCATATTCAGGGCTCATTCGCACCGCCCCCATACTCAGGGCTTATTCGCGCAGGCATATGGCCCCCATATTCAGGGCTCATTCCCGCGGGTGTATGGCCCCCATATTCAGGGCTCATTTCCTGAATGAGCCCCCATATGGCCCCCATATTCAGGGCTCATTCCCACGGGTGTACGGCCCCCATATTTAGGGCTCATTCCCGCGGGTGTACGGCCCCCATATTTAGGGCTCATTCCCGCGGCCGTGCAGCCCCCATATTCAGGGCTCATTCCCGGGGCCCCCATACTCAGGGCTCTTTTGCGCCGCCGTGCAGCCCCCATACACAGGGCTAATTCACGCAGCTCCCATACTCAGGGCTCAATTGCGCGCCGCTGTACGGACCCCATTCCCGCGGCCGTACGGCCCCCATATTCAGGGCTCATTCCCCCGACCGTACGGCCCCCATATTCAGGGCTCATTCCCGCGGCCGTACGGCCCCCATATTCAGGGCTCATTCCCGCGGCCCGTACGGCCCCCATATTTAGGGCTCATTCGCACCGCCGTACGGACCCCATATTCAGGGCTCATTCGCACCGCCGTACGGACCCCATATTCAGGGCTCATTCGCACCGCCGTACGGACCCCATATTCAGGGCTCATTCGCACCGCCGTACGGACCCCATATTCAGGGCTCATTCGCACCGCCGTACGGACCCCATATTCAGGGCTCATTCGCGCGCCCCCCCCATACTCAGGGCTCATTCGCGCCGTACGGCCCCCCATATATTCAGGGCTCATTCCCGCGGCCGTACGGCCCCCATATTCAGGGCTCATTCCCGCGGCCGTACGGCCCCCATATTCAGGGCTCATTCCCGCGGCCGTACGGCCCCCATATTCAGGCTCATTCCCGCGGCCGTAATTCCCCCATATTCAGGGCTCATTCCCGCGGCCGTACGGCCCCCATATTCAGGGCTCATTCCCGCGGCCGTACGGCCCCCATATTCAGGGCTCATTCCCGCGGCCGTACGGCCCCCATATTCAGGGCTCATTCCCGCGGCCGTACGGCCCCCATATTCAGGGCTCATTCCCGCGGCCGTACGGCCCCCATATTCAGGGCTCATTCCCGCGGCCGTACGGACCCCATATTCAGGGCTCATTCCCGCGGCCGTACGCACCCCATATTCAGGGCTCATTCCCGCGGCCGTACGGACACCCATATTCAGGGCTCATTCCCGCAGCCGTACGGCCCCCATATTCAGGGCTCATTCGCGCCACCGTACGGCCCCCTATATTCAGGGCTCATTCGCACGGGCGTACGGCCCCATACAGCATGAAGAGCTGTTTGTTTCCTTTTTGCACAGAGCTGGGTGCAGTCAGCCTACATAAAGTGAATGGACACGTATCACATGTAATACATAGCTGAGTTTGACAGGGACAGGCGATGCAGAGCCTAGAGTGGGATAGAAGTGTGATACTCTAAGGGCCCTGTCACATGGGTGCCTTCTGTCCCAATCAGCAGGAGATCTATCTGCCAATCCCCTGCTGATTGGAGTAGAGTGGCAGATGACAAATCCGTGTTTATGTAGTTTATTACCACCCTGTTCTGTGGGTGGCCAGGAGTAAGCAGACTCCACTGTCCATTTACACCTGGCTGCCTCTGATCCAGAAGAGGACACAGCACAGCAGAGAAATACAAAGCAGCATGTCTCAGTAGTAAAACACTCCCAGCACACAGTTATCCCTTTGATCACCCCAGATGTTAACCCCTTCCCTGCCCAGTGTCATTAGTACAGTGTCAGTGCTTTTTATTAACACTGATCACTGTATTGGTATCACTGGGATGTCAGTGGCAGTTAGTTCCCCCCCCCCCCCCCCCCAGTGTCAGAATGCCCGCCGCAGTCCTGTTATAAGTCACTGATCACCACCATTACTAGTATAAAAAAAAATTAAAATTCCAGCATTTATACCGCCATCTGTAGACGCTGTAACTTTCACGTAAACCGAGTAATTTACACGTATTAGGATTTTATTTAGCAAAGGCATGTCGCAGAATACATTTTGTCCTAAATTTAGATTTTTTTTACATTTAGTTAATGGACATGTTTTTTAGCAAAATGTAAAAAATACAAATAAAAAAAAAAATTTCTGTCTTTTTTTTGTTTATAGTGCAAAAAATTAAAAACCACACAGGTGATCAAATACCACTGAAAGAAAGCTCTATTTGTGGGAAAAAAAGGACATAAATTTGATTTGGGTGCAGTGTTGCATGACCGTGCAATTGTCAGTTAAAGTGATGCAGCGTCGTATCGCAAAAAATGGCCTGGTCAGAAAGGGGGGTAACTCCTCAGGAGGGCAAGTGGTTAATACCATGCCTGGGGGTGTCGTGTCCCGGCCTGTGAAGTGGTACATCTGTACAATGTATAGAACATAAAAACCAGCTGGGGATTCTCTCACCTATACCAGGCCCTTATCCTGGATGTTAATGGGGGTCCCTTGTCAAGCGGGGCCAAGGATTTAAAAAAAAAAATGTAAGGAGAAACCAAATGGCAAAAAAAAACAAAAAACAAAACAAAAAAAAAACAAAAACAGGTTGTGAACCCCCCATTCCTAAAAACCCACAGCAGACCCTTATCTGAGCATGCAGTTGGCTGTGCAGGAAAGGGGAGGGAGGGGTGAGCTGAATATACGCCCCTTAACTATACCAGGTCACATGGCTGGGGAGGGGGTGTCGCTTGGTGGCAGTAAACTTTGGAAGGATTTGTGTTTTCTTTGGCCGGGTGTTGTTCCTGGTGATTGGTCTGCATCGTCATGTGACTGACCACGGAATGACATGAAAGTGTGTGAGTGTTCGTGTACTTTTCTGTCTGTGAGTGAGGTCCTATGCCTCCTACCCACTGGGGCGAGATCTGGGGACCCTATGCCACCTACCCTCCCGTCAATCACAGTGCACCTGGCTGCTACCTACCCTCCGCTGCATCACAGTGCACCTGGCTGCCACCTACCTCCCTTCAATCACAGTGCACCTGGCTGCCCACCTACCCTCCCTTCTATCACAGTGCACCTGGCTCCCACCTACCCTCCCTTCTATCACAGTGCACCTGGCTCCCACCTACCCTCCCTTCTATCACAGTGCACCTGGCTCCCACCTACCCTCCCTTCTATCACAGTGCACCTGGCTGCCACCTACCCTAGTTCTATCACAGTGCACCTGGCTGCCACCTACCCTCCCATCAATCACAGTGCACCTGGCTGCCACGCCACCAACCCTCCCTTCTATCACAGTGCACCTGGCTGCCACGCCACCAACCCTCCCTTCTATCACAGTGCACCTGGCTGCCACGCCACCAACCCTCCCTTCTATCACATTGCACCTGGCTGCCACCTACCCTCCCTTCTATCACAGTGCACCTGGCTGCCACCTACCCTCGGCTCTATCACAGTGCACCTGGCTGCCACCTACCCTCCCATCAATCACAGTGCACCTGGCTGCCACGCCACCACCCTCCCCTCCATCAATCACAGTGCACCTGGCTGCCACCCACCCTCCGTTCTAACACAGTGCACCTGGCTGCCACCCACCCTCCCATCACAGTGCACCTGGCTGCCACCCACCCTCCCATCACAGTGCACCTGGGTGCCACCTACCCTCCCTTCTATCACAGTGCACCTGGGTGCCACCTACCCTCCCTTCTATCACAGTGCACCTGGGTGCCACCTACCCTCCCTTCTACCACAGTGCACCTGGGTGCCACCTACCCTCCATTTTATCACAGTGCACCTGGCTACCACTTACCCTCATTCTATCACAGTGCACCTGGCTGCCACCTACCCTCCCTTCTATCACAGTGCACCTGGATACCACCTACCCTCCGTTCTATCACAGTGCACCTGGCTGCCACCTACCCTCCTGTCAATCACAGTGCACCTGGCTGCCACCTACCCTCCTGTCAATCACAGTGCACCTGGCTGCCACCTACCCTCCCTTCTATCACAGTGCACCTGGATACCACCTACCCTCCGTTCAATCAAAGTGCACCTGGCTGCCACCTACCCTCCGTTCTATCACAGTGCACCTGGCTGCCACCTACCCTCCTGTCAATCACAGTGCACCTGGCTGCCACCTACCCTCCTGTCAATCACAGTGCACCTGACTGCCACCTACCCTCCTGTCAATCACAGTGCACCTGGCTGCCACCTACCCTCCTGTCAATCACAGTGCACCTGGCTGCCACCTACCCTCCTGTCAATCACAGTGCACCTGGCTGCCACCTACCCTCCTGTCAATCACAGTGCACCTGGCTGCCACCTACCCTCCCTTCTATCACAGTGCACCTGGCTGCCACCTACCCTCCATTCAGTGACAGTACACCTGGTAACAAGGTCAGTGACCTGGCTGCACCCACCATTCGGTGACAATGACAGTGCGCCTGGCTGTGACCTACCTTTCCAGTGACAATGACAGTTACCAGGTAAGTGACCCCTTTCCCATGGCAGGGCTGCCCACCCCCTGCACTCGCCCCCTCCCTGGCCGAGCTCTCACCTTGCCGCTGGCGGTGCCCCCGCTCACCCCAATCAGGAAGGGCCGCGGGTGTCCGCGCTCTGGAGCATCCAGGTTCCCCGCAGAAGCCATGGCTAGGACAACCTGCAGCCACTCGAACTACATTTCCCAGAAACCTCCAGGCAGCTCGGTGCCCCACTTTGTGCTGAGTACTGCCCTAGAGATTCCTGGGAGATGTAGTCCTTCCGGAGATTTGACGGTGCATGCGCAGCGTGAGATGGCATGTGACCTGCCCAGGACAGAGTAAGAAGGGGGCGGAGGCCGTCCTGTATACCTCCATCGGGGCACCCCATGCCTGCGTGCTCGCTCCCGTGCGCGTCCCCGCCATTCTCAGTGAACACTGATATGAATATTGGCTCTTCAGCAGCAGGCCAGTGAAAATGACTATTAATAATAAATACTGGGGAGGGGCTCCAAATAGTCCGACTAGAGGCAGCATGTAGCCAGTGAAGCCTTCCTGTGCAGTGTACAGGGTGACAGCCATGCCTCTGGACACTGATCTGCCCATAATGGCTGCATCTGAGACTACTGAGGAGGAAAATACAAAGGGATCAAGAAGAAAATGTGCCGCCTTCTGTTACATGTGATATCAACACGTGGATCTTGCTTTACAGCATAAGGCGTGTAGTGTGGAGTCTGTCTGTGCCTGGCTACGTGTGCACAAAACATTGGTGTCACTGGATGTAGTAATAATCCCCAGCATTGGTGTCACTGGATGTAGTAATAATCCCCAGCATTGGTGTCACTGGATGAAGTAATAATCCCCAGCATTGGTGTCACTGGATGTAGTAATAATCCCCAGCATTGGTGTCACTGGATGCAACAACAAACGTCAACATTGGTGTCAGTGGATGCAACAACTCAATATTGGTGTCAGTGGATGCAACAACTCTCAATATTGGTGTTAGTGGATGCAACAACCCCCAACGCTGGTGTCAGTAGATGCAAAACAACAACCCCCAACGCTGGTGTCAGTGGATGCAGCAACAACCCCCAACGCTGGTGTCAGTGAATGCAACAACAACCCCCAACGCTGGTGTCAGTGAATGCAACAACAACCCCCAACGCTGGTGTCAGTGGATGCAGCAACAACCCCCAACGCTGGTGTCAGTGGATGCAGCAGCAACCCCCAACACTGGTGTCAGTGGATGCAACAACAACCCCCAACACTGGTGTCAGTGAATGCAACAACAACCCCCAACATTGGTGTCAGTAGATGCAACAACAACAACCCCCAACATTGGTGTCAGTGAATGCAGCAACAACAACCTTTAGTCAGCTGCAGTAATAACAACACCTACCATTGGTGTCAGTGGGTTTAACTCCCCCCCTTCCTTGGTGTCAGTAGGAAAAAATACCCACATTGTTGCCCAACAGCAGTAATATTAAACTCTTGGTAAAAGTAACCCAAATCGCTGTGTATTATGTGGTCTTTGCGGAAGAAGTTATAGAGAGTCTACAAGCTATGCTACCTATCACTGAAAATTGATCACACCTGATGTACTGATGGCCTATCTCATTTCCTGAGGCCCTAACATACTAGGACAGTACAAATAGCCCCCAAATGACCCTTTTTGGAAAGTAGACATTCCAAGCTATTTAGTAAGAGGCATGGCAAATTTTTTGAAATTGTAATTTTTTCCCACAATTCTTTGAAAAATTAAACGATTTTTTTCCACACATAATTGTCACATTAACAAGTTATTTCTCTCACACACGGTATAGGCATACTTGCAATTGCACCCCAAAACACATTCCACTACACCTCCTGAGTATGGTGATACTACATGCGAGACTTTTCCACAACCTAGCCACATACAGAGGCCCAACATCCATGTACCACCTTCAAGCGTTCCAGGAGTATAAAAGGGGCATCAATTACACATCTCATTTCCTGACTACCAATCACAGCTCTGAAGGCCCTGGAGCACCAGGACAATGGAAACACCCACAGGATTACCCCATTTTAGAAAGCAAATACTCCAACATATATTCTACGAGGCATAATGAGTCTTTTGAACAGGTCATTTTTTTCCAAATGTTTTTAAAACGTGGAAAGAACATGAAAACTTTTTTTTCACTCAAAGTTGTCAATTTATAAAATATATTTAACACACTGCATGTACATATCAAGAATTACACTCCAGGATACATTCTGCTACTCCTCCTGAGTATGATGATTCCACATGTGTGAGACATTTCCACAGCCTACCCACATACAGAGATCCAACATCCAAGTAGCACCTTCAGGTGTTCTAGAGGCATGAAAAGGACATTAATTACACATCTACTTTCCTGACTACCTATCACAGTTTTGAAGGCCCTGGAGCACCAGGACAATGGAAACACTCACAAAATGACCACAACACCCCACGTATATTCTATGAGGCATAATGAGACTTTTGAATATGTATTTTTTTCCACAAGTTTTTGGAAAATGTGGAAAGAATATGAAAAAGTATTTTTTTTTTACACAAAGTTGTTAGATTATAAGATATTTCTTATATACTCCAAAATACATTTTTGCTACTCCTCCTGAACATGACAATTCTACATGTGTGAGACTTTTTCACAGCCTAGCTGAAGAAAGGATAAAAAAAAGATTACCTGTGGTTTTAGTAGTGCATTTGTCCGCAGAGGAGAGTATTGGACCAGGAATTAGGCAACTGTCAAAAGAATCATCCAGGCAGCAGGCAGGAATACGGTGGATAAAAAGGCCAAGGCCAGAACAGGCAACAGCTGACATCCAGGCAGCAACATGGTCAATCCCAGGTTTGGGTCAGTACAGGCAGCAAGAGGAGATATGGTCAGCACAGCCAACGTATTGGTTCAGGCAACTGGCAGGAAACATGGTCCATAAAAAGTCCTGGGTCAGTACAGGCAGCATGCAGAGATGTGGTCAGCACAGCCAAAGTATTGGTCCAGGCAGGAACATGGTCCATGAAGAGTCCTGGGTCATTACAGGCAGAGATATGGTCAGCACAGCCAAAGTACTGGTCCAGGCAGCAGGCAGGACCACGGTCCATGAAACGTCCTGAGTCATTACAGGCAGCAGGCAGATATATGGTCAGCACAGTCAAAGTATTGGTTCGGGCAGCAGGCAGGAACACGGTCCATGAAACGTCCTGAGTCATTACAGGCAGCAAGCAGATAAATGGTCAGCACAGTCAAAGTATTGGTCCAGGCAGCAGGCAGGAACACGGTCCATGACACGTCCTGAGTCATTACAGGCAGCAGGCAGATATATGGTCAGCACAGTCAAAGTATTGGTCCAGGCAGCAGGCAGGAACATCAGGCTTGGAGCCTCGATCAGGTAAGACCGGTGCACAGGAGTAGAGGCTTTGTCCCACCCAATCTCTTCGAAGCCTCCAAACTAACAGACCCTGATCCAGGAATTACAAAACCAGGAGACAACCAAAAACTGTTATTTCTCTACTCAGAAGTCCTACGGACACAGCTGATCACGTGATATGGTAAAAGGCAAATCACAGCGGGCCTTTTACCACGTGATCAGTCCAATGACACGCTGATCACCGGGAAATGCAATTGCCAGTTCTCGGCTGCACTTTCCTCACGTTGTCAGATCGTGAGGAAAGTACTGCCGAGACCGGCAGTTGTCAGAGCAGGGATCGGCACCGATCATCAGGGCACTGATGATCAGTGCCCTGATGATCAGTGCCCAGCAGTGCCACCCACAAGTTCCGCCCACCTGTGCCCAGCAGGACGCCCACTAGCTCCACCCACCTGTGCCCAGCAGTGCACCCCACCTGTGCCACCCAGCAGTGTCACACACCTGTGCCCAGAAGTGCCACCTACCTGTGCCCAGCAGTGCCACCCACCTGTGCCCACTAGTGCCACACACCTGTGCCCAGCAGTGCTGCCAGTCAGTGCCACCAGTCAGTACCCAGCGGTTGTGCCAGTCAGTGCCCAGCAGTGATGCCAGTCAGTGCCACCTATCAGTGCTATCAGTACCCATCATCAGTGTCGCCTATCAGTGCCGCCTATCCGTGACACCTCATTAGTGCTGCCTATCAGTGCAATCTATCCATGCCACCTCATTAGTGCTGCCTACACTGTTCAACAGGTAAAAAGTTTTGGGCATAAAATTAGCTAATCTTACATAATTTTGGGGTGCTGAAAACGAAAATGACCCTAAAAAATGTTGATTGGCTCTAGTTTCCATGATATATTCACCCATCTAATGACGTAAGCCATTCAAAATTATGATGCAACTTCAGCTGCATATTGCGCAATTGATACTGGTGACCAATAGAAAATTGCATGTATACTGAGATGATGCAATATTAGCCCTTAATTGCATCACTTCACTGCATAAAAGATGCAGTATCTGTAGCTGATTGTAGTTCGACAGCGTCTTTACATTTCGTTTTATGCTTATATAGGCTAGTCAGTAATGCCTCGAACTTGTGTGAATAAAGCAGATAATTTCTGCTATATCTGCGCTGAAATAACTTTTATCTCACAAAAAAGGAGGATAACAGGAATGATTAAGAAAGCATACAACTTGTATTTTGGCTGCAAGATAGGAGACCAGGACAAGAGCTGGGCACCACATATATGCTGCAATTCTTGTGGGACGGCACTGGAGCAATGGTTGAATGGAAAAAAGGCATCTATGCCTTTCGCTGTGCCAATGATTTGGAGAGAGCCAACAGATCATGTTAGTAATTGTTACTTTTGTATGGTGCCTCCAATTGTAAAAGGGCTAAATAAGAAGAAAATGTTATCTGTGCACTATCCAAATATTCCATCGGCAATACGTCCAGTTCCTCATGGAGAGGGGCTACCAATTCCTAAAGCACCAGAATCCTTCGTGGTTGAGTCAAGTGAGGAAGAACCTGAAGCGTGTAGTCATCAACCGTCAACCTCACATGACCCAGACTTTCTTCCATCCACACCCACTGAACCACACCTCATTACACAAGTGGAATTGAGTGATCTTATCAGAGACCTGGATCTTCCGAAGAACAAGGCAGAGCTTTTGGGGTCAAGACTACAACAGTGGAATCTCCTAGCAAGTGATGTTCGTACGTCTTTCTACCGTCATCGTC